GAGTAGTGTTGGTTCTTCCACAATTGTAGAAATTACGATCACGACTAGAAGATCTTTTGTCATTTTAGGACCTTGACTTGGAGCTTCTCTCTTTGCTTCTATTCCTGTAGAATTTGTTGAAGTTCTTCACCAATAAGCTCAATTCTTCATTGGAGACTTGCTTTTCACTTGATGTTGTAGGAGCATCACTTGAAGCTTTGAAATCACCCCTTGACTTATTGTGAAGCCCTTCCTTATCCTTGAGTGACATCTCATGAGCAACAATTCTACCAATGACTTCTGTGGGCTTGAGATCTTTGTAATCGGGCATCATTTGGATCAATGTGCACACGGTATCATATTTTCCATCCAAGGCTCTAAGGATCTTCTTGATGATGAATTTGTCAGCCATCTCTTCAGTTCCTAAGCCAGCAATCTCATTTGTGATGAGAGCAAGCCTAGAGTACATTTCGGCGACTCCTTCACCATCCTTCATCTTGCACTTGTCAAGTTGACTTTGAAGCACATCCGACTTGGATTCCTTGACGGACTCGTTACCTTCGTGCATATCAACCGAAGTATCCCAAATTTCATTTGCATTCTCAAGGCGGCTGATTTTGTTGAATTCTTTGGGGCACAATCCATTGAAGAGAATATCGCAAGTTTGAGTATTGCATTGCAACATATTCAATTCTTCTGCGGCTGCTTCACTATCCTGTTCTCTACCATTTTCAAAGAACTCACCTTGCAAGCCAACACACACAACAGCCTAAATAGCGGTGTTATGACCAAGAATATGCATTTTCATCTTATGCTTCCAAGAAGCAAAATTTGTACCATCAAAATAAGGACCTCTACGGTGATAGTTGCCCTCGCTAGACGCCATAGTCTCCTAGGTTGTGAAACTAAGGCTATGATCACCAAAGCTATGGAAATCAAGGCTAATGGAGACCAAAGCTCTGATACCACTTGTAGGATCGAAAGTATGTCTAGAAGGGGGGGTGATTAGACTACTTGATCAAATAAAAATCTATCCTTTGTCCAAGTTTAGTTGTGGGCAGATTTTAGCAATTATCACAAGTCAATCAATCAATCTACACATGCAATTCTAAGAGTATAGCAGCGGATTGTAAAATATTGCATATGAAGGTAAAGGGAAGGGTTTGGAGAAGGCAAACGCAATGGAGACACAGAGATGGAGTGGTTGCGATAGGTGGTGCTATCATACATCCACGTTGATGTAGACTTCAACCCATGAAGGGTAACGACTGCACGAGTCCACGGAGGGCTCCACCCATGAAGTTTCCATGAAGAAGCAACCTTGTCTATCCCACCATGGCCATCATCCATGAAGGACTTGCCTCACCCGGGTAGATCTTCATGAAGTAGGCAATCTCCTTGCCCTTACAAACTTCTTGCTTCAACTCCACAGAATGATGGAAGCTCCCAAGTGACACCTAACCAATCTAGGAGACACCACTCTTCAAAAGGTAATAGACAGTGTGTTGATGATGAACTCCGTGCTCTTGTGCTTCAAATGATAGTCTCAACTCTCTCTCTCACACACAGATTTGGCTATGGTGGAAGAGGGATTTGAGTGGAAAGCAACTTGGAGAAGGCTAGAAATCAAGGTTCAAATGGTTGGGATGGAATCTCTTGATCTCAACACATGAGTAGGTGGTTCTCTCTCAGAAAATGAATGGTGGAAGTTTAGGCACGTTCTGATGGCTCTCCTCAATGAGGAAGAAGGGGTGGAGGGGTATATATAGCCTCCACACAAAATCCAACCGTTACACATTTTTGACTCATCTCGGTGGCACCAATTTGTTCAAAAATATGAACATTAGGAATCTCGGTGGGACCGACTGGAACAACTCGATGGGACTGATGTGCTAGGGCTTAGGGAAAACTTCATCTCGGTGGCGCTGATTGCATCAACTCGATGAGATTGAAGTAAGTGCAACGGGCAATAGAGAATCTGTTAAGCCAACTCGGTGAGACCGATTACATCAACTCGATGAGACCGAAGTGAATGCAACAAGTCATAGAGCGCTGGGAAGGCTATCTCGGTGAGACCGAGATCTGTATCAGTGTGACCGAATCATTAGATTTTCTTGCAGTAGCTGTGCCAAATGAACTCTGTGTGGGTAGAAAGTATCAGTGGGTCGAGTTCGGAATTAAGGTTTGGACATATTTGGATGGAGAACGTGGCTAAGGTTTTTGGAGCAATATCACTAAGCACTTTGACCAAGTAGACCATTAAGCAACACCTCATCGCCTTTTAATAGTATTGGCTTTCCTATAGACTCAATGTGATCTTAGATCACTTAAATAGAAATGAAGAGTCTTGAGCTTTTGCCAATCTTTGTCCTTAGCATTTTGAGGGGTCCACATCTCTATAGTCCATGCCATGCCATTCATTGAACATCCTGAAATATTTATCTTGAATGGATATTAGTTCAATGAGCTATATGTTGTTATGAATTACCAAAACCATCCGGGGATTAGTTGTACTTTCATACCCCGACTTCAATATTTTTCCCCCACAAAGGAGACGACGGAGGAAGCAACCCAAGGCCACCGGCGCTCCTTGGGCTCGCCATGGCGCTCCATCGGCTGGACGACGACACCGGTGGCAGCGCACCCTGCACCATCTCCCCTACACCATGGATCTGGGGATGGGAGGCCGCTGCCGCTGCCGGTTGCATCCGAGCTCCTTCTCACCTATGACGGTTGTGGAGCTCGGAGGACGGCTAGAGCGACGGCCAGCCAGTCAAGCTGGGTTGGTGCCGAGCCCGCGGCAAACCCCGTCCAGTAGGTCACTGGAGGACAACAAATCCAAGTTAGGCAGCTCACAGGCGCCATCTTTGATGGGTGCGCGCATGAAGCGAGATGAACACGCAGATCCCTGATACACCTCCGCCTCCGCCAGATCCTATACCGCCATGACCCGGGCACCCTATCCTTGACAGTGCCAACACAACCCGGCCCAGCTCCTCAACACAACATGGTGGATGCGGCCTAGCGCTACATCGATTCGAGCACGCCCCCGTGGCAGTGCCTCGGAGTAGAGCTCCCCCAGATCCATGGCAAGTAGAAGAGGGAGACGGCGGCCACCAGTGACCACCACCGTGCTCATCTTCGCCCTCCTGGCCAGCGCGGTCGGCATCTTCGCCGCGCTCACCAGCATGCGCTTCCCGCGAGCGTTCACCACGAACATGAACAACACCTCGTCAGGTGCACAAGCTCTACCCGCCTCCTCCCATGTTGATCATCTGCCACGAACTGGGAGGTGCGAGATCCACGCCGCCGCACCGGTGGACTCACTGGCTCAGACCAGGCAGAGAAGTGTCGTGCACTTGCGAGCGGGACACCGAGGCAGGGGAGGAGGAGCCAATGGTGGTGGACGATGTGAGGCTGCCGCTGCTCATCCTG